GGGGGGGGGGGGGGCATTTCTGTTACATTTTCTTCTCTTTTTTTCTCTTTTTTTTCTCTTTTTTCTCTTTTTTTTTACGGGAGAGAGGGGTATTTGTGGTTTGGTTTTGGTATTTAGTGAGGTTTTTTTGTTGTTATTTGTGTGTGTGTGTGGTTTTTGAGGGGGCTTGGGGGGTGGGGCGATTTTTTGTTTTGTTTTTGCTTTTTCGTTGTTTGTTTTAATAATATAGGTGTTTTGTGCCCCCATCGACAAAATTTTGGTTATTTAGGAAGCAGACTTCTGACCCAGCCTGTTAAGGTCAACCCGGGCTGGGAGGGATACAATATCGCACTAGGAAGACCGAGATACTCACAGAAATAACATTCTCACTACTGGGAAGTTGAACTCGGGTCATCTACGTGCAATAGCGAAGTGCCTAACCTCTACGCAACAGACAATGGTGACGGGTCGAGTGAAAACCAGGATGAGTCCATTCTTTTAAGAAAAAAAATATTTTAAAAGAGCTGGAAGTGTAGGCTAATTGTAGGTAGAATTCATCTATGAAATCAATCAAGCGTAAGACCAACGAAGGCATCTACAAACTGTCGTTTCGTTGAAGCAAATCAAGTTAATAACTAGCAAGTCTATCATTAAATTAAAAAGTTCAAATTAGGCTTGGTCGTTATAGGATTAATGTTACTTAGCCTGCTTTTTAAAACTTGATCCCTTCAATTGAGGACTCCAATGGAAAAACAAGATAAGTCACAATTTTTAATGAGTTTTTTTTTTCCTCATTTTGAAAAACTGAAAATCCAATTTTCTTCTCGGATACTGACGTCATAGATAACCCATCTAAGTCATGTGTTACGTTAGGTAAACGAAATGTTCAGTTTTTTCCACTGGATTCTGTATTTGCAATGGATTTGGGGAGGCGGGAGGGGGGTGTCAAGGATGCTGAGATGTGAGGATGGTCGAATGTTGTTGAAATTTTAGTTGAAAGTGTGAAACTGGTTTTAACGTACACGTATAATTATCAGTATTTGTGTGTGTTTCCACTTTGTTCTCTTTAGGGGATATACAGATGATATCTTATCACTGTGTATTATACACTAAATTGGTTTCACTCATAATTATAGGAACAGAAAAGTGGGAAGGTGTGGATAGTAAAAGGTGGAAGGTATTTGTTCGTGACCTATACCCTGACCCAAGGCAAGAAAGGCGATGATGATGACAGACATCTGATCATGGACTTTACATATGTTTCATTTTTCTTTGCTGTAGATTTGTTATAAAATCTTCATGCTTTCATCAACCCATTTTAGGTCATTTTAAAGGACAGAGATGCTTAACCTGTCTGCAAGGACCGCCCCAGTTCATCTGGGGTACATTCCAGCAGAAAACAACGGAGGTCTTCGAAAAATATAAATACATGTAATATCCAATAGTCAAGCTTATTTCTTCAGTGCGCACGGCAAAAAAGCCAGCCTGTACACCACATGCTTTCATTTACTTCCCTTTGGGTAAAGTAGGCACATCTGTACAATGACAGTTACATAGTAAAGTAAAGTTGTTCCCACATCTAATCCTGAAATTTGGGATTGCCTTGTTAGTGAGACAACTTCCTGGGCCTTCGACATATTGTGGAGGGTGACCAGTTTCTTTCCACGCCACCTTTACTTCCCCAACTTCAAGTCAGGTACCCATTACTGCTGGGTGGGCAGGAGGGGGTGGAAAAACCGTGTCCGAACCAAGGCTCGAACCCGGACTTTCTGCTTCGGAGACAAGCTCCACCACCGGACCCTCTAGATACACAGTACACGGTGAAAGAAAGACAGACAAACAGAAACAACATAAGCTGAGACATATAAGACGTCCCAGCTGCGTGCTCCAACCACCTACACTCTACCTTCGCTGGAACCCTCCCACACGCCACGATATTCGCAGTCTGAGAAATAAGATTTCATCTGTACCACCCACAAACAACGAGCACCGGTTTGAGCTATAATATTCGTCTGAAAAGTCAAATTGTAAATTGTTGATCCACGATGGAAGTTTTGGAGTCTCCTAAATAGGACGTCTTCGAAAAATATACATGTAATATTTGCGCGCGAGATTCAAACTCATGTCTTCTGAACACAAAGAAAGGGGTCGGTCAATACACCACGACATACTTTCCTTTACTTCACCTTGAGTAAAGTGAGGGTATTGATGCTATGACATTTACACAGTTGGCCTACATGAGAAAAAGCAAGAGAAACAGACTTCTATGTCAGGCCTCCCTCTGTGTTTTCTGGACAGAACTACGAGGACGGGGACTCGCACGATGACCTCCAAGACCTTCAGTACACGTCAGACGTGCTGGAACAGTGGAAGGAGAAGCAGGAGGATGGGGATAAGTATGAGGTAGGCCTGACCATATCGCCAAGAGTTGAGGGTTAAAGTTTAAAGAATAAATGACTCTGTCATTTATCCCCTTCAAGAACTTTACTTCTTGTTTTAGTAAAAGTTTTAAGGCACTTACAACACAAATAGATTATAAGTGTCGAAGATTAGAGGTGTTACTAGAGAGTAAAGTAAAGTTGTTCCCGCATCCGATCCGGACATTGGGGATTGCCTTGTTAGTGAGACAACTTCCTGGGCCTTCGGCATATTGTGGTAGGGTGGCCAGTTCCTTTCCACACCGCCTTTACTTCCCCAACTCGAAGTCAGGTACCTATTACTGCTGGGTGGGCAAGAGGGGGCGAAATAAATCCGTGTCCGAACCGAGGAGAGTAACATACAAAAAAGAAGGAAGAGAGATAATGGCGATAGATGTTTGATAGGAACGAAGGAACAAACCACACCACATCACCTGCCAACTATACCCACATCACCTGCCAACTATACCCACATCACCTGCCAACTATACCCACATCACCTGCCAACTATACCCACATCAGCTGCCAACTATACCCACATCAGCTGCCAACTATACCCACATCAGCTGCCAACTATACCCACATCACCTGCCAACTATACCCACATCACCTGCCAACTATACCCACATCACCTGCCAACTATACCCACATCACCTGCCAACTATACCCATATCACCTGCCAACTATACCCGCATCAGGAACTGTGGAATAAAGCGTCATCAACTTATTGCCTCTTCTTCAAGTGCAAAAATCTGAAACCGACTCTGCCCGTCATTGTTCGACACACATTTTTATATCCTAATGCTATCAGAAGAATCTAGATTGTCCTTACTTTTCCTCATCACCTTTTTCTTCAAGTTCCGTAAGAAAGAGATTCCTGGTCTACCTCGGCCTATTTTGCAGATATACGATTAGTCTCCGCATCCCGAAAAACAACGACCCACCACTACGCAGGCAAAAAGTTGATCAGAAAGGCATGGAGTAAACCTTTTTTTCTTTTGGTAGGCCTAAGTGTTTTACGGCGCTCGCAACTGCATAAGGTCATATGAGCGCGCGGGACACACTAAACATTTTCAGTTGGTAGGAAATTGGAATTTTGCACGGGTGGCGGCCGAAGCCTACTCTTGTCGATTTTAGACCACCAAAGGATCTTTAACGTGCGCAACTTGCACAGTTAAACTCCGAGATTTTTCGCCCTTATCCGAGAAGGCTCGGTGTAGATCTTTCCTACCCGAAGATCAGGGGTGTGTCTGAAAGACAGCAGTAAGAAGGAGTCAAGGAGAAGCAGTAGAACGGCTGCAGAAAGAGTCAGGGGCCAAGAGGTGGGGGGCAAAGGAGGTGAGGGGAGAGGGGGGCAGAAAGCGGAGGCGAAAGCAGACGACAGAACATTGCTAGAGAGCAGGAAAGAAGGTGAAAGGAGGCAATTTTAGAGAAGAATGTTTGTTCGGTCGCTACACGGATTCGAATCCGGGACCTTTGAATGAGAGGCGACAACTTTAACCTCTAGGCCACGAGATCCCCTAGAAAACTTTTGGTAGAAACCTAAATGATTTTGAATCGGTGCATAATGAAAAACGTTCGAGAAAAAGCGGAAACAAATGTAAGTGACCATTGTAACCAAGATTGAAGAGGATGGCCAGGGACAGACAAGCATGGAGTCGACTGGAGTCGACTGCTCTCTGCCTTATCTACCTGACAGTGTATGGAGTGAGTGAGTGAGTGAGTCAGTGCGTAAGCATTATAAACACGCTACCACTTGTCGACTGTGTGCTCTGCTCTTGAACTCAGGCTATTGTGTCCAGCTCAAGGACACACCCCTGTGGGAGCTATACCCTTCCGTAACCCTCCATTGTTCCCTGGGATTAGACCGAGTGTGGTCACTGGGGCCGTCCTCTTTTCATCACCGGAGTGACCCTCATGTCAGGGAAGGGCGAATCGATAACTCGTCATTGTTTAACTCGACGGTTTAGTTCGAAAAACCCGTATGTCATATTCTTCTAAAATCGCCTTTTTGTTTTTCCTTTGTTTCTTCTTTGCTTACCCCGTGGGTTCAGATCTTTCTCCTTCACATATCTGATTCTTTTCGAAGGTGATGATCACACTGTAAATACGAGTACTTTACAGTCCGATTTTCACATCGAAAAGATAATGTCACGGACAAAGATCTGCAGCCACGGGGAAGCAAATAAGTCGATTTTAGAAAAATATGACATACATAAGAGTATCGTGGAAGGAAAAGAAATCAAATGAGGTAGCGCTTGATGAAGCCCACGTGGGACGCTCAATGTTAAAAACAATTAGGAAACGACAAATTCAATGCAGTTTTTTGGGATACATAAATAGACATGAGGGTCTTGAACATCTAACTCTCACTGGCAAAATTGAGGGCAAACGAGGCAGGGGTAGGCCTAGAACAACATACTTAGGGAACCTAAACAAATGGGTAACAGGGAAAGATGGTCGGTTTGCTAACCAGAGTGAGAGCGCAAAGCGGCTACCGTGACACAAGCCGATCGCGCGCGACTCGTCGCCTCAAAAACAAACCCGTTTGTTTTCAGACGACGAGTCGGGCGATCGACCCGACCCGACCCGAAAAAATCTTAACCCAAATGGGCACCCGGTATAAGCGATTTGATTCCAAGGATCTCGCGGGCCACAGAAAGATAAGTTTTATATTATTGGGTGAGATCGGTCTCAAATTTGAAACGAAAACTGGCTCTATAGCATAATCTGTCACTCATGGCCATTCCAAGAGATGAAATGTTAGAGATTTTGCTTCCAGATAGGCCAAAAACTATTGATTTTAATATTCAAGACGATAGGCCCGATCCAGCCGTGATGGGCACCCTGTATTAGGAATCGAACCCGAGTCTCCTACGTGTGAAAGCAAAGTGCTGAACCACTTCATCACAGACACCGGTGAGGAAGAGATGGAAGGTGAACGAGAAGTGGAGGAGGAGGAAGAAAAGAAGAAGGAAAATTCCTGTTCTACTCTGACCGAAATGTTATTGATCGACGTGAACGAAACTGTTTGTCTTGGGGTGTGATTTTTGAACAAAATCGTGATTTTCTTGAGAATTTTAGAACATTTATAACTATCTGTAACAATCTATATATCTCGCTGAAAATTACAACGTTCTAGCTAATTGTTTTGATCGTTTTGAGTTACTAAGACCATAATGAAATCAGAATCCAAAATGCAATGTTCTGTCTACTCTATCAAGATCGTAAATATAATCGGAGTCGTTATCAAGTTATTCAAAGAGCTGAATTCGAAAAGGCTTGACATGTCGTGAAAATCAAAAGTTTTTAACGCTTCATTTCTCAAAAGTTAGTATTCTTGTCTGGCAATCTGTTCATTGATTTATTCAGTGAGCTAAACATCTATCTGTCTATCTGTCTATCTATCTATATATCTATCTATCTATCTATCTATCTATCTATCTATCTATCTATCTATCTATCTATCTATCTATCTATG